GCTCCTGATGTCCGCCGCCGTACCTCCGTTCAGGCCCACCATGCTGCCGAGATAGTAGAATTCTGGTACTCTCTCGATGTCGGCCTCCCCCAACCTCAGTCTTGAATTATTCCGGGGATTAATCCGCATCTCTTTGGTCTTTTTATTGTTGATCTCAAGTCCGATGCTAGTCTTGCCTCAGTTTTTAAATTGTTGAGCTTTGCCTCCATGTCTTGGAAACTTTCTGCCAGAAGACAGGGGTCGTCCGCAAAACCTAGCTCCTCCAGCCGACTGCTCAGTCCCCACTGAATCCCGCGGCTTTGGTTTGTTGATTTACGAAGCGTGCAATCCAGTGTCATAATGAACAGGATGGATGAGAGGAGACATCCCTGCTTCACCCCAGACTCAACGGTGATAGGTGGTGAGAGCGTCCCGCAGTGTTCCACCTGACACGTGTAACCTTATTCGTATGTGGCCCAGACCAAACGTATGATTTTTTGAGGGATGCCAAATAACGACATTGCCGTCCACATCCTCTCTCAATCGAACGAGTCAAAAGTCTCAAGTCGACGAATAGGGTATATAATGCGGCCTGGTGTTTGGCAATTTGTTCAATTATAATCAGAGTGTGTTGATGTGGTCGGTCGTGGATCTGCCTTCCCTGAAGCCAGCTTGTTCCTCTCGTAACATATTGTCAACTGGCTTTCGTATCCTGTTCAGGATGATACGTAGCAGGATCTTACCGCATACCGGAGCAGTGTGATTCCTCTCCAGTTATTGCAGTCTGATTTGTCTCTTTTTTTTGGCAGTTTAATCAGGGGGAACCTCCTGGTTCCACTCACCAGGAAGAGTCTCCTCGTCCCAGACCCTTCCCAGCAGCGGCTCCAGGATGTCAGTCGATATATAGCTCAAGTTTGTCTTGAGGATCTCAGAAGCGATATTGTCAATGCCAATGGTGCTTTTCCACCTTTCATTTCTTTGATGGGTTGAATGATTTCGTCTTTGGTGGGTGCTGCAATACTGATGTTGGAATTCTCCGTGGTTTCAACTTTTTGCATGTCTGCTGTTCTTGGTGCGGTTGTGGCATTGTTAAGAATCGCGAAAGTGTTGTCTCCAACGCTCGATTTGTCGCCGCTCGGATGTTGGGAGCGCACCGTTCTCATCTTTGATGGGTCCGTCCGTTCTAAAACTTCTTTTTGATAGGCGCTTTGTTAAAGCGTAGGGGAGACCGGGGCGGGTTGTCACACTTTTCAAATACTGATTTTTAAAAAAATGTTTGCAATATTTTATAATATTGTATAGTACTTTTTTATGTAGCTACATTCTTTAGGTATAAGAAGAAAATATTAGACTTTTATATATTTATACACAAAAAAGTTGATTAATTCTAAGCAAGATTGTGAAAATGTGATGCCGACTTACGGCATACCCAGGGTTGGTTGTCACACGACTCTGGGTTGGTTGTCACACGACTCTGGGTTGGTTGTCATATCTTTTATATAGAGGAAACGACAAATAATTCCTGTTTTAATCTTTTCCTGCCATTTTATTTTTCATCCAGGATGCAGGCATCTCAATTGAATTATTGCAAGCTAGATTAGATTATAAGCAAAAGTTCTGATTTCCTTGGGAGAGAGACCAAAATAAATATCCAAAGCACGTAAAATGTAATTTACCAATTCTTTTTCTTGAGACTTGTAAAAATCTGTCTAGCTCTAGTAGCAATATTTTCACATACATAGTCTTCCTCTGGAATCTTCTTGCAATAGCGAGCTAATGTACGCGATAATTGATATCAAACTCTAAAGCAACTTGTCGGATTGACAAGTTAGCTTATGTATTTTCACAGCTCTGACAGCTAAGCATAATATCGAGTGGAGTTGTACCTCTAGCTGTTTTTCTTTCGCAATTTTGAGCCATAGAGAAAACAACAAAAATCTGTCTAAAAACACAATTTTATCGCGTAATCGCTTATTGTATACGGATAAGGGTTAAAGCACGTTGGTTCGGCAATCATTTCACACGCATGCGTAACCTCACGTAACCTACAGCGCAGCCTGCGCAGCCACGTCAGCAGACGAAATACGTGACAACTAATCCCATCTCATTTGAAACACCTTACCACAAACGGTCATTTTAAACAAAGAATATTATATTTATAAACCATGTTGCAATAACGGTCAACTAAATACAGGAAAAATTACCTAAACTATAATGTTTCTTATGACTAAAAAAAAAAAAAAAAAAATAGTAATTCCAAAAACCAACAAAACAATAAAAATAGAGACAAGAAAAATTTACTCATGACCTCCAATTTTTAAAAATGCTCGTAAATATCACATGCGATGTTTTACAAACGAGCTATTTCGTACATCCGACAAACACGACTATAAAGAAGAATATTCCACTCAATCTATCAAGTGAGATATAAGCTTTGTGACAACTTGACCGTGTGACTTTTAGCCCCGGTCTCTCCTACAGCTCTTTAAAGTTGCCAACGTTGGCTGCACTCTGCGCTCGGGATGCCAGTTGTTCGGTATATATAGTTTCTTGTCTCTTTGTATTTTTTTTTCACGTTCCTGTTTGCTGTTGTGTTTTCCGCGGCGGCAGCTGTCTTTTGAGCTCTCGTGCGACTGCTGTTCACTACATCTTTCTTTTCTCTCCGTGTTTTGATGGAGGTCCAGGTGTCTTCTGAGATCCCTTCTTTCCTACCCGAGTCCCAGTGGCCAAGAGTCGTTTTGCAGGTATCCAAGAAGGTTCGTCTTCGACACTCAGTCACCATAAATCCCGCGGTGTTCCGTGTCTGCGAGAGCTTTGAATTTGTTCCGCAGTTGCAGTTCAAACTCACCCTTGACTTGGGGTGACTAAAGTCTGGCGATGTTGAACCTTTTTCCTCTCGTTTTTGCCTGATTTTTTATGGCCATGATCTTTAGGCGTATTGTTGCCATCATGAATGAGATGACGGTCTGTTCCCACATCGGCTCCGCGTTTGTTTCGTACATCGAGCAGCGAGCTCCTCCATTTGCGACTAATGGCAAAGTGGTCGATTTGGTTTTTTGTTTGTTGATCTGACGACACCCAGGAGACCTTGTAGCATGTTTTGTGTGGAAACAGCGAGCCGCCGACGACCAGATTGAAGGTCCCGCATACCTCAATCAGCCGTTCCCCATTGTCGTTGATGATTCCGACCGCATGTCTTTCCATCACATTTTCTCGGCCCCCGCGCGACATCTCTGCCAATTTTTGCATTTAAATCTTCCATGAGCATTATAATGTCTCTTTTCTTGTTGCGCGCCACAGTTGCATCGAGTTGGTTGTAAAACTTGTCTGTCTCTTCTGTACAGTGGTTACATCGGTGGGCGAGTAGCATTGCACAATGGTGACGGGGCGGAAACGGGTTCTGAAACGTGCGGTGATAATTCGGTCGCTTACGGGGGTCCACTCCATTAAGCTATTCTTGGCTCACCGCGTCTCAAGTCCCACTCTGTTGACGTGAGGCTGGTCGTCTTTCTTGTTCGAGTAGATGAAACTCATTCTGCTCCCCGCTCTCGTTTCTCCGAACCCCGTCCACCTTGTCCACCACTCAGACCCAGAATCTCCACCTTACAATATCTTTCCATCTCAGACCCATCACCTCACGTAGTTGGCCGTTTCCCACATGGCCTCAACATTTTGTCTAGTTTCAGTTAAAGATTTTTTGTTCAGGTGTGCGGGTTATTAGCCCACAGCACCGCTCCCAGGCTGCGAAATTTTTCTGCCAGAGTTGGTCTTCTTTGGCTGATTTTGGTCCGCTTTGGGTATTTTATTTCCCCGGTACTCTCTATTTCTAGCGAGCGTTCTCCTATCCGTCACTTGGGGAGGCGCCCGATAAGAAATCAGCACACGGGATAATATGCCATAATACATAAAAAAATAGCCTTTCTTGCAAATTTCTCTACATTGAGACGTGATGGAGCAATTTGACAAACGGGATCGTATTTACTATTTAGCTAAAAAGCTATAAAAATATCAAATGAACGCGTGGTCGCCACGCGCGTTACAAGTGAAACTTTTAAAGGCAAGGCTTTGCCATAACTTTTCTGAAATTAATACAAAAACAATACAACGGAATTTGTCACTCCAACCCGCCCGCAACTCGAAAATATAGTGGCTGTTTTCCAACAAGGTGACACAGTGCGACACTGTGCGACACTACTGTGCAAACACTGTGTCAAACTCTACACCGATGCTGTGTCGAGATGTGCTTCGCTGTGTCGTTGTTGGAAAGCACTGTGTCTGACACTGTGCCACACAGTGTCGCCTGTGTTTTTTGCTGGAAAGCACCCAGTGTTACACGCAGTTCTCACTATATCCGTCTCGCCAGTGCCGTACGCCTGATTGAATGTTTGTGACGCGTTTTCGAGTCGCAAAATCGAATTTACTTATCGATCCAAAAGGAGTTTCACTTTGTACGCCTGTTGGTCGAATTTTCGTGACACTATTTCGTGACGTTTTTTCGTGTCGCACAATCAAACTTCTTACCGTGCCAAACAAGTTTCATTTTGTGTCGCAAATCAAACTCACTACCGTGCCTAAAAAAGTTTCACTTCAAAAACTATTACTTCCGTTTTCGTGTATTTCTTGTTGACAGTGTAATCACCCCATCATGTTTTCGTCCCACCATCTTTTATAACAAGTCTTTACAACTAATATAAGCCTCTATAGTTTTATTTATAATCATAATTTATTTGTATTGCTAATATAGGTCAAGATGATTTAAATATATTTTAATTTATTTTAATATTATTTGCTTTATACTTAAAAAATTAATCAAGATGTGGAGGATATTTTTTTCCTTTAAATGTATGTTGTGTGGTCCTATATCTTAAAAAATTTATTGATTGAACAAAAACAAAATAAAAAAAAAATCAACTAGTGTTATCATCAGATGTGATGTTTCTTAATACTAACCGACATCTGATACCAAATGTATCAAAGACCGTAATATACAGTTTTTACTGTTCTTACTGTTTTTACTGTAGTTAATCTGGAGGAAACGTTGCAACTATCGCTGTCGCTACAAGACTATCACCTGCAAGAGGTGACTCTGTACGCGAAGCAAACTAGGAGTTTGGGTCCGACGCCAAGTACGCAAGACATAATGGCATTGCAGAGGCGGGAGGAGCGGCGACGACAGCAAACCAAGCAGAGCGTGTTTGGTTTCATGTTTAAGAAATCCAAGGAAAATTCTCCGAGCATGGATAGTCTCGGGGTACGCAGTGTGTCGCCAGCCAGGAGTGACGAAACTGCGAGAAGCGTTAGTCCTCTTCAGCCGGCGCCGGCTCGGCCGCAAAGGAAGAGGAGACTAGCCCCGAAACCACCTGCCAACGCTGCACAAACCGTTCAAAATATATCCGGAGACAGCGGCAAGGACAAAATGACAATCATCAATCACAGCCGTAACAGCAGCGACAGTTCTGGCTACCATGAGGCGTCCGTGCTTAGTGATAATCCGGATTCGGCTGCAAGACTACCGGAAACTCTGCCAAGGACAAGTAAGGCACCAAGTCTGTTTGATGCGTCCAGGAAATTGGCGCAGACTTTACAGTCTAGCAAGAGTCTGGGCAATCTGACAGCGACAGATGAAACGCTCAGTCGAGGGATTAGCAGCACTTTTCTTAGCTCCACTGGTAAGATTTGATTTGATTACGCGCAATTTATACATACAAGCACACGCAATTTGATGATGACACGTTCTCAGCATTGTCTATTGAATAGGTCTACAGTAGCGATGGAATTAATCATCTTACAGGCAGACTCTTTGAGTCTGTTTATCAAGTTTCAAACTTTCTATAATTACTTGAAAAAATAAAAACAGCTAATAAAACCTAGCCAGAAATGATTAGTCGAATTGAATCGATTTATATGAGAGCCGAAAAACAGTAATAGTCTCTGAATTTTTCTTCATTCTCAACTTTTAATCTCAATACACAGATGCTTACTTGAAAAAGTATAGTCTTTTGAAAAACACTGTAATATCTAAAGATTAAGATTGTAAGCTATACTGTCTGAAAGAAATAATAGAAAAGAAATAATTAAAAGTTCCATTATTCAATCATGTGCGATTCTGTAACCATTACCGTTGGCTTTCCATATTCATTCGATCGCACACAAGTTTAGAGCAATGTTGATTCGACAGTCCGAACCTGGAACCTCCCCCATTCCATAAAAGTGTCGTGCCAATTCGACTACTGAGGCATGTGGTAATATTTATCGCTAAACTCGTAAAGGTGACTAAACAATAATAAAATAGAATACCGAAAAGTATCGAGTTCCTAGTAATCTGGATCAAATATGTTTGAATCTTTTATGAATACTCAACTATTTCAAGTTTCTTTAAATCAAAATGTTTGTATAAAACAATTATTTTTATGTATTATTTTTTTATAATTACAAATGTTGAAAATGTTGGATTAACAACTGTTGAAATTAAATATAATAAAAATATGATTAAAAATATAAAATAAAAGTTACTTGAAATTTTTACACATTTATACATTCCTTAAACTATCAACTTAATTCTTAGAGTTCAAGTACTACTTGTAAAAGATTCGATTCTTTATGATGGAAACTACTCAAAAGTATATTTTGAATCCAGCAGGTACTCTGCATTCAAAACTCGAAACTAATTAATCGAGATTGATTACTTTGCAAGTACAAAATTTGTGTGAAATATTATTTATTATATATTATATTGTATTATATAAAAATTTATTATATTACTAGCTGGTTACCCGCGGGTTTCGCCCGGGAGTCGTTTTTTTTTTTTCAAACAACTTTATTTGTGTTTCAATATCCTTAATCAAAAAAAATTTCTTTGTCAAGCAATGGCTCATCAGGCAATTGCAAAGAATCCTTTATATTCATTTTTATTCAATTACATTTATTTATTATTAATTAAATTGTAATATTTAAAATTGCACAATATATTTTTTATTCAATATAATTATATTAAATAATTGTACAATTATTATAAAATAAAAATTATTAATAATAGACATTTACCTTGACAATTTTCTTTACATTTTTTCTTTTTTACAATTTATTCATCTTGATCTTTTTTTTATTCTTGTCATGATTTTCATCCTCTCTCTCTCTCTCTCTCTCTCTCTCTCTCTCTCTCTCTCTCTCTCTCTCTCTTTCTACGCTTTAATTTATTATTAGCCTCCACAACCACATTACAATTTTCTTGTAAATCATCCTTTTTACCATTTTTATAAACTCCACGACATCACAGTTACGCCCTTCATTTTTCTCTTGCATTCTTTCAAATTCCAATACTGCATTTATTAATAATTCATCAAACCGGTCTTCAAACACAAACATTTTGTAATTATAATACTAATCACAAGTTTAATAAAAAAAGGGCCTAGCGGAGTAAGCATGTGAAATCGGCCCTTGATCATAACAGAGCTGACATTAATGTCACAAGTTGGTACCAATATGATAAAACTTGACACCAAATATTATTTTAAAAAATTCATTTTTTTAAAAGGTATGCAGGGAGAAAGATATATGTAAAATAAAGAAATGTATTTTTCTCGGAAACCACTTGACCAATCTTGATGAAAAAAATACATGTCATGTAGACTAATAAAACTAATTAACAAAAAAAAATGTCCAAAATGTTTGCCAAAAAAAGACCCAAAAAAAATATTTGAATTTTTTAATATATTTTTTTACGGTGATATTTTAGAGGTACCCCTTTGAAATTTTTACGAAAATTGCAAGTGTCCACTATAACATGTATTTTTTTTCAATTTTTTTTAAATGGTGGAACATGGTAAAAATACGAAAATCGTAAGCGTCGCGTCACTCTGGCGCACAGTGCAGTGCCATTCCGCGTTGCGGGTGTTTGATGTAACTTAAAGCACATGATGTGTACGTCTGCAATTAGCCTATAATATGTATACCTTTTAATTTTTATAGTTTCCAGAGTTTACCACGTGGAGGTTGCAGTACGGTTTTAAACTCCTTATCGGGGTGCTTTTTTAACACGAGTCCCCTCGCCTCTCACTACGTTTCCGTAAAATCAGGGTGCTTTTTTAACACG